AAATTCTTCTATACTTTACTGGAATTGCCTTTATTCACAACTAAACTATTTTAGATTATAAGCAAAGAGAGGCAGAGTTGGAGCTTTGTAGGATAGGCAAAATATAAGAATGGGGAAGAGATGGTAGTGGTACTTATTAACAGTTCCTTGCCTTCCCAAATCTCAATGAATTGAAAAAAAAAAAAAAATGTTGTTTGAATTTACTGAAGCAGTAATGTAAAGATCCAAAAACTGTGCAAGGAAGCAGAAAATAGTAGCTTATGGCTGAGCATTGGAGCAGCAGTTCCATCTTAGCTTGTGCAGCTTCAGCGATAATTTTCTGCCTAACACTCAGACTTTGTTTGTGACAGCTTTTTTTCTGCTTCTTAAAGCAGCTTTCTAGTAGTAAAAAATTAATTTTTTTTACTAGAAAGCATCTTTAAAAAGCAGTAAGAAAGCCGTCCCAAATGAAGCGTCAATTGTGAGAGAATTATACGGAGATTTGTGGTGTTTAAAAGCAATGTTGGTTTCTAATTACATTCTTCAAATGATGGATTTAAAAAAGTTTAATCATTTTTTTGAACTCCAAGCAACAGAATGAGTTACAGTCATCAATTCATCATGTTTATATAATAAAAACAAGTGAGAAGATTAAGTTTTGATAATGTTTGCAAAATGAATAAGATCAAGCACGAATTTTTGTACAGTTTTTTTTGATTCTGAAGTCAAATAAAAAATAAATTCAAGAACTTTTTTTCTACTAATCTGAATTTTCAACAAAGAGAATAGATTTTTATGTTTCATATTTGATCTCTGTTTATAACCACCAATTGGTCATCTCTTTTGTTCTACTAATCTGAATTTTTCCTCTCATTTCTTTGCCATCTGGTCTTCTTTGTTGGATTTAAAGTAAGCTACAGCACTCCCATATATAAACTTAAAGGACTGAAAATAAAACAGAGTTAGTTATACATGAAAGGTGAAGATTGTTGATGTCTTTTAATTGTTAAATATTGTAAGGAGCCTACAAGTTTTCTATAAAATTTTGGCTGAGAGCAGTAAGTATGGGTAGTTTGGACGGTAGAGTTGATACCAGTTTACAATCTTTCATACCAGCTTCAGCAAGAAATTCTGAAGCATATCAGCCTTGATTTAAATGTAATCAAGTTGCTGTTGGTGTAACCTGAAGGCCCAAAAAGTAAGATAAATAACCAAGATTTTTCATGGAGAAGCGTGAGTGCAATTCCTTTAAGTAGAGCATAATAGTATGTTTGTCATTATCAGTAAGTAAGATATCGTCAACATAAATAAGTATATAAAGGCAAATTGGGCTATGATGATAGAATAACAGTGAAGGATCAGCAGAACTAGCAGTAAAATCATAGTTAACAAGGTGAGATGAGAAAGTGGCAAATTATTGGCGGGGAGCCTGTTTAAGACCATAAATTACGTTATTGAGCAAACAAACTGATAAGAAACAACCCAAAATAATTAAAAACAGAGCAAAAATCTGCATTAAACAGCAGTTTTTTCCCCCAAAACTGTAGGAAATTTGAGAGAAAACACTAGAAATTTACTAGTAGAAGAAGAAAAACAACAAGATACAATTGATCTTCTATTCAAGGGGAGGATCTATCTCTCCCAACTCTTTAGACGCCGCTAGAGCCCAAAGGAAAACCTAAATATAAGAGATCTCAAATTTCAGTCAAATTCAAGATGTCCTAACCCTAGTAAAACAAACTGTTTAATGCATACAAATCAAAAGGAAATCCCTAAACAATCCCTACATTCAACTTCCCTCCTAAACTGCCTTCAAAATCCTTCCTGTTCGTCTCCCTTGAGCTGGCCGAAACTTGCGGCTCTTCCTAGAGGCAGAAGAGTTCCGCCCAATTGGCGAGAAGCTGGTCCCGTCGGACCAGCTGGACCAGTCCACAAACATGATTAAAAAATTGAGGATCTTAAAAACGAGGGGGGCTATATCATGTAAGCAGTTTCATCAAGTTTGCGATATATAAATGCATTTGCAACATCAAGTTGAAGTATAGTTCAATTATAGGTAATTGCAACATTGAAAGATATCCAAATGGTTGGGAATTTTGCAACTATACTAAAGGTGTCATGATAGTCTAAATCAAACTCTTGTTAGAAGGCTTGAGCAACCAAACGGGCTTTGTGCTAAGCAATATACCCATCAGAGTGATACTTAGTCTTAACTAACCATTTACGACCCAAAACATCTTGATTTGGATTATAGGGAACTAAACTCCATGTGCAGTATTTTGGAGAGCTTTAAATTCTTCTCTCATGGCTTTTCTTTAAACCTAGTACTTCATAGCTTGAGAGTACATGGAAGGGGCTACGGGAATAGTCATATGCTGCAGATCAAAGATAGGTTTGGGTTTAAGATTACCTATTTTAGAGCAGGTGACCATGGGATAGCGGGATGGTCACCTGCTCTATTCATCTCAAAACTGAAAGTGCTATTCTTTATTTATCGTCTATTACTAGCAGAAATTTCCGACAGAATTTGGGCATTTTCCAATGAATTTTCGGTGAAAATTTTTCCGCCTGCTATAGCCATGTATGAAAAAGAATTCGTCCGTTTCGGACCGCCGGTATCCTGTGATTTTCCTGTAATGCAAATGATATGGGACCTGCAGCTATAAAGAAAGCAGCTGTAACGGTAAACAAAATGCAATTTTTTTTTTTTCTGGAAAAGCTATGATTTTATATATGCTCATGAAAGGATATGAAGGACCTGCATTGAAAGTTTTTTTTACTGCACAGTAAATAAGGAACAGCAATTTCAGTTCTTAGTTGAAAGCTCTGTAAGTCAAAAACTTTTTAAGAGCAGAAGCTAATCAAATATATTTAGTATTTTTATAATAACTTTTAAGATATTTATGAGCTAATTTTAGTTGGCACCCTTTGATTAAGGGGTATTTGGGATCATTTTAATTTTAATTTTTATTAATTTTTTTTTCTATTTTGACATAAAATAAAATATATTTGCTGTTTTAAAAATATATTATTTTTGTTTTCATAGAATAGCGAATAAGTCCATTTATGTGTTGGTGTGGGAAAACAACATTGGTTGGTGAGATTAAGATTAATAGCTATTTTTTAAAATATTTAAATATTTTTAAAAATAAAATAAATAATAAAAATATTTAATAATACACAAAACAAATATAATTTTAAAAAATAAAAAATATATATACTAAACTGATCCCAAATAAGCCCTAACATTCTTTCTTTCAAATTTTAGAAAGATAAATGAAAAGGGAAATATTGTTAAAAGCTATTCCATTCTTTCCAAAAAAAAATATATAAAAATTATGTGAACTGTATTTTCATAGCTGGACCAATCAAATTTAGAGAATTTCAGCCACAATAATTTTTATTGGTCCACCTCAGCATACATTTATGCAGGTTTCCATGCATTGTTCATTGATTCCAAACATGTAACAAATCTAATAAAGCTTGTAGCATAAATTTATCATTATATTTAGTGGTAATTTTCACAACATTCAACTGGCAAATCAAATGTCAGGATGATTAAGGCTTCGTTTGGAATAACTTTCTCAAAATTTTTAGTAAAAAAATTTCATAAAAAAGACGCGCATCTCAAACGAAACCTAAATATTACAATTTTATTAAAATAATTGTGTTTTTTTTATAAATTATAATATTTTGGATTCAGTCTCATTTAGCTGGAAGAATACAATGTCATTTAGAATAATTAATAATGATTATGATATTTTTGAAGCTATTAGATAGTTTGCCTATTAATGTTATTTAGGTCACTTTAATATGAGAGAAAGAATTAAATCAAACATCTTTAGAAAACAAAACATTAGAACCTATTAAATAAAAAAATTCCTTGAAGCTATATGTCTAAACAAGAGTAATTAATCTGAGTGAATTAACAAAAATGATGGTATCTATTGAATTAGACCAGCTTAGAATATTTCTTAATTATACAAATTGTAGCTTATAGTTCATTTCGTCCTCATATTCTTGTTGATTTGTTCTTTGATCTATTGAGATAGGTTAGTTCACATCCTATTTTTAATAGCTCAAATCACAGAGCTTTAGGCTTCATTTGGGACATCTTTCTTACTGCTTTCTAAAGCAGCTTTATATTACAAAAGGATTTTGAATTAGAAATTTTTGTTCTAGAAAACTGTTTTAAAAAGCAATAAAAAAGTTGTTACAAATAAAGTCTTAGATTTCGTTTGAGACGGCTTTCTTTTTGCTTCATAAAGCAGCTTTTTAGCATAAAGATTAAAATTTTTATACTAGAAAATTGTTTTAAGAAGCAAAAAGAAACTTGTCCCAAACAAAGCTTTAATTTGAGCAGAACCACCTTAGCTCAGACTTCAAGTTTCTTAGAATACCTCTCTATTGCTTTAGTTTTGCAGGGGGGCTAAAGTCTCTTAACGAGCTAGGAGAATAAACTAATCATTGAGAAAAGGCTTAGACTTTGTTTGGGATAATTTTCTTGCTGTTTTTTAAAGTAACTTTTTAATATAAAATTTTTAATTTTTGTACACGAAAATTGTTTTAGGAAGCAATAAGAAAGCGGTCCCAAACGAAGCATAGTTCTTTTATTAGTTGATTTAGACCCCAAGTCTAACTATCTTCCCTATGTAGGTGATACTAAACCTGAAAAAGGACTACCAGAGCTCTATAAGACCCACCTCAACAAGCCATTGTTGGCCCAAATCTCTCATTGTCATGACCTAAACAAGCCATTGTGCGTACTGAATGAAGTGTACAACACATTTCATGTAGAATTCCAACCTGTTTATTTAACTTCGAAGAAACAAATCAAATAGAAAAAATTGCATATTAATTTCTTCAAAAATATAAGACATTTTTATAATATCTGCAAGAACAATATGTTGCAGCGCAGAAGAGAATACTCAAAACTCATAAATTTTTGCATGATAAAATTATAATGTCAAATATTTTTGAATCAAACGCCTTTTAATTGTTATCCACTTCAAAAAATATCTTCATGACAACCTCAATAAATTTATTGCAACCTTGCACTCTTGAGACATCACCTTTGTCGTCGTCTTCACTGAACTCTTCATGACCTTCACATCACACTCCACCTCCATCTTCATCCGCCACAGTGTCACACCCCAAATCTCCACCCTCACCGGCGTTGCCACCGTCAATCTTAGCAGCACCGCCTGCTTCGATCCCTGTAGACTCTTCTCCGCTTCCTCCATGACAGCCTTCTTCACCCCATGAAGCGCCATGCTGAAACTTCTCGACTCCCTGGCCTTCAAGTTTAATTGGGGCGACTCTCCATCCGCCAAATTTCTCTCTTTATAACTAAGCTTCGCCGCTCGCGCAATGCTCTTCTCGATCAAGTATCCCATACCAATACTTGGATTTGTAACATCCATTAAGATCTCGCGCTGAGTTTTCGAGTCAATTACAACGCGATCGATGTTGAAGATGGGAGCAGATGGGCGGACGACAATGTAGAAGATGAGGGTGGCGATGAGGAGAGGAAGGGCTATGGAGATCAAGATGCAGAGGAAGCGGAGCAAGAAGTTCAGGCAAGGAGAGCGCTTTTTTCGCAGTGCGGCGAGATGGGCGCGATATTCCTCTGCGAGACGAGCATTCTCTTTGGGCGGGATGCGGTAGATCTGATCTTTGGGGACCTGCACAATGTAGGTGACGAGGGCGGAGGAGAAGGCCTTGTCATCGGAGCTAGGAGGGCGAGGAAGCGGGGGACGAGAAGCAGGAGATGGCGTCGTCCCCTCCTCCATCGAGAGAGATAGAGAAGAGGAGGTTGGGGTTAGGAAGTAGAAGGAGAGAGAGACGGAGAGAGATGTAAGACTAAATTTAGAAAGGGAGAAACAGATCCAGCGAGGTTTTTTTTTCTGGCTAGCTTTCTTTGTGGAGATGACGAAGTCATGGTGGGAACAGGCGAACCGTAGCGGTTCGGAAAAGGATAACAGTCATGAGCCGGTTCAAGTTCGTTATGTCATTATTTTTATGGGTTCGAAGAGATCTACGAGGGACGATGCTGAGTGGGCAGAAGGGAAAATTCTTTATTAAAATTTGTTTAAGTAATACTTTATTATTATTATCTATTTTAAGATTTGTATTATATCGATATAAATTAGAATGATTATAGGAAAAACCTACCTTTTATAGGAAATAATATGAAAATAAGTATACTTTAGTTCTAACTAATGGTATAAAATTATTCTTTCATTAGTAAGATAAATTTAATTAAATTACCAAGAATTTTTATTTTGTTTTAAAGCTAAAGAATTAAAATATGTATCTATAATTATTTTAACAAATAACAAATTATTTCAAAAAGTGAAGGAATTGTCACTACAGGAAAATCACTTATTACCGGCGGAATTTTCCGGCGGCTTTCCGGCGGTCAGATTTCCGGCGGCTTTCCGGCGGATTTCCGGCTGTTTTTGACGGCTTATTTCCTACAAAATTTTCCGCGGAAAACCTCAAAACCGCCGGAAAAGGTTCAATTACCGCCGGAAAAGGCCGCCGGAAATTGGTGATTTTCCTATAGTGTGTCTAGGAGCTCTTTGATTTGAAGAAAAAGAGATGTAGGGGTTTATGAAACTATTAATATTTAATCTAAATTTTAAAAAATGCAGAGTACAAGTTTACAGTATTTGAAATTTATCATGTACTTGAATTTTGATACATTTAAAAATTAATTAAATTTAGTTTATAATACATTATAAGTTTTCTATCATTGTAGTCGTAAACTACCACTACTACTATCGCTATCGCCACTATCACCCATCATAATCGTTGTCAGCCTCTACCTTCTATCACCATCACCATCGTTATAGGTGTCAATATTTGACATGACCCGAAAACTCTACTCAAATCTGACACAAAATTTTTGGATCCGGTTCCTGATTTTCGACCCGTTTCGAATTCCGGGTCAAATTCAGGTTGACCTGGAAAACCAAAAATGATAGGGAATCCTATTGTTCGGCGTATTTATGGGATTTGGCCATGCTTCACAGCTTGCGAACTTAGTTGTTTCTAATCAAAATTTTGTAACTTCCGATCTGATCGGAATGAAACATCGTCCATGGAGCGAAGTCGAACAACAACAACGAGAAAGTGGATAAAAAGACCGAGCGAGCTCCCGTCGTTACTTCCAATCAAAATGTTGTAACTTCTGATCCGATTGGAAGGGAACGTTGTAAGTGGAACGAAATCAACAACATCTAAGAGAAAGAAAAGTAAAAAATCAAAAAGTAGAAAGGAAGAAAGTTGCCTTCACAGCGAGCGAGCTCCCGTCGTTGCTTCCAATCAAAATGTTGTAACTTCCATCGTCAAAGGAGCGAAGTCGAACTACAACGAAGGAGCCAAAGAAGTGACTCGTCCAATCTCCACACCTCCGACCTCCTAGTTGCTTCCGATCAAAATGTTATAACTTCCGTCGTCAAAGGAGCGAAGTCGAACTGTAACGAAGGAGCCGAAGAAACGACTCATGCAATCTACACCTCCTGTGGAACAAAACCTAATAGAAACGATGAACCCGACCCGTTTTGCTTCCGATCAAAATATGTGGGTCGGGTTCGGGTTGACCCGAACCAAAGCCGGTAGGGTTCATGTCTAAGAAATCGACCCTCTTGCAAACAACAGGTCAAGTTCAGATTGAGCCTAACAGTCTCGAGTCAGTTCCGGGTTAGACCCAAACCTGACCCGTCACCCAATTTTGATAGCCCTAACCACCGTAGTTTGTTACCTGCTGGCCACTGAGCACCACTATCTTTGGACTATAGATTGCATTAATTTTAGCCAAACAAGAAAAATAATCATATAAATTTATTTCACACTCATCCAAATAAATCAAAAAATTCCAAATAAATTATATTTATTTTATATTATATTAAAATATAAGTAATTGCGCATTTATTTTTCATACAACACAAATGTCTCAAAACATTCTTAGTTGAGATCGTGTTGCGGCTTTGATGTTCGAGGGAAGCAATTCATATTATTTTGATCCCACACTCAAAATCCCTACTCTGTCCGAATTTTTTTATTTTTTATTTTATAAATAATTTTGATGGAATTGAAGATGACCCTTCCTCACTAGAAGGAACCAATAGGAAATATGAACAAATAATATGAAATAAAAGAAAAAAAACATTTCACATATAATAATCTAAATAAAATTAGGAAATTTTAAGAGCGTTCCGCCGAAAAGTTTTTTATTTACAGAAGTTCTTCAATTTCTGAAGCTAAGATTGATTACCTAACTAATTAAGCCAAAAAAACAGAAAAGCACAATCAATTAATCAGTCATCCACACATCTCCAACTTCTCCGCTCAGTCCACCCTTCCCTGTCTCCTTCCCCAAACCTCTTCCCCATTCCCAGCGCCGCCGCCGTCGCCATTTCTCTATCATCTTCCTCCGCCGACGTCGAAACCTTACCCAGCTTCGGCTTCTTCCTCGCCGCGGCGCCAAACGCCCTCATCACGTCAAGGAGCAGCTCCACCCCTTCAATCCTCAGCCACCAAAATCCCACCTTTCTCCCCCGTGGTGGTGCCACCGCCGCCATTGTGTTTCCACTCGACTCTATGGCGTCGAGCAGGCTGGATAGGGCCCAAACGCTCGGAAGAGCCGCCGCCGGTGCCGGAGGAAAGGCCACGTAGAGGTGGTCGTGGGGAACGAGGGCGCCACTGAGAAGGGCGCAGGAGGCGAGCTTCACCGCCGCTGACATCCTCACTGCTCGGTGGATTTTGTACGATGCGATGTCATAGAAGGCACAGCCACCTCCGCCGCCGCCACGGGAATTCGGGGCCTTAACGGCTGAAGCGGTGGTTCCTGAGATCTTGGTGCTACTTTGGGCGGCGAGGTTCTTTAATTTTTCGTAGGCGACAGTCCAGATTTGGGATTCGGGTTGATACCAAACGTCGGAGCCTGGAAGAAAGTGAAAGATCTTGATGACGATCACATCATAAAAAACCAGAAGAAGATATTTTATTTATTTTAAAGAATTCAACATCTTAAAAATTTCAATTAATAACAGATATATAACTAACCTGTATCTATCAGTATTTATCTCAGATCCTGAAGTATATGCTAGGCTATTTTTTTTATTCATTTTATGAAATCTAAAGCTAAATTTAATTATGAATATATGACATAATGCTCTTAAATTTTACATCTGTAACTTACAATTATTCAACCATGAGTCTATCATACATTTTTATGGACTTTCGCCAGACATATATTCGAGACTGAATTTTTATTCATTGCTGGACTTCTGCCTGATGCTATTCTTCTGACCTCGGTAGTCAGACAGACAACGGTCCTTCCGACCTTCGTCGCCCACCGACTACAGTCCTTTTGACTTTTCTTTAATTTTTCGTAGGCGACAGTCCAGATTTGGGATTCGGGTTGATACCAAACGTCGGAGCCTGGAAGAAAGTGAAAGATCTTGATGACGATCACATCATAAAAAACCAGAAGAAGATATTTTATTTATTTTAAAGAATTCAACATCTTAAAAATTTCAATTAATAACAGATATATAACTAACCTGTATCTATGATCAGTATTTATCTCAGGTCCTGAAGTATAGGTTAGGCTATTTTTTTTATTCATTTTATGAAATCTAAAGCTAAATTTAATTATGAATATATGACATAACGCTCTTAAATTTTACATCTGTAACTTACAATTATTCAACCATGGGTCTATCATACATTTTTTTATGGACTTTCACGACATATATTCGAGACTGAATTTCTATTCATTGCTGGACTTCTGCCTGATGCTATTCTTCTGACCTCGGTAGTCAGACAGACAACGGTCCTTCCGACCTCCATCGCCCACCGACTACAGTCCTTTTGACTTGTGTCGCCCATCGACTATGTCCTTCCAACCAAACGAACATATCAACAGTGATTATTTGTATTCTTCCAACCATGTAATGTATTATTTATAATATACATCAAGCCAAGACTTTCCCCATAAGAAAGGATCTCATTTGTAATCGACTGTAAATAATAGTAGATTCATTCAAATTGGGCTAGGCCCGTGGGTTTTCCCCTTTTTCAGTAGTTTTTCATATAAAAATCTTGGTATCTCATAAATGCTACACACTCTCTTTTACCTGATTGCGTGTCGGTGTCAGATCTTCATACAACGATAAGGTGATACATTTTATATTTCTCTACCGCCGCGAATATTCTAAAACACAACACTTCCTTAAAGAACCTTTCAAGTACAAAAATTTAAACAACTTAAAATTAAGAGACAAGTCAAGAGCTTGAACATAATGCATAAACTACTTTGCCTATGCATAATTTTCTTAATTATATCTTAATTTTATGCTTAAATTTAACCTAATAAGCTAATTAAAGCATCACTATATAATAGTAAAAACCTACTATACATTCCAATGACAAAATAAAAGCACAAATTTCTTCCTTACCATTCCTTACAACCAGATCCTCATAAGCACAATAGCTAACGAATATCTCTTCCAGCTGCCGAATCACATTATCAGAGCACTCCCACGGCACAGAAAGTCCATACAGAACTCCAGGCAACGCAAAAACAAACGCCCGATCTCCAACTCTCACCGCCATGGAATCCTTGGCCAGCATCCACTGGTGATCCCCCACCTTACACGTGGCCATCGCCACTAATCTCCGGCCACCGACCCGAATGATTCGGGCCGAGAATTCCCCGGTCCTAAATACCTTGGAGGACTCAAAACGATCCCCGCAGAGAACAAAGAGCTTCGACTGTTGATGATCAGCTCGGGCGATTCTGAGTAGCTCCGTCTCGCTGCCTTCCTGCTGTTCATGTGGCTCCCACCATGCCATGATCTTTCTTCCTGCAGATCAGTTCTGTAACTATGAATATGTTTTAATCTCTTAAACAATAATAATTTCTGATCATATAAACTTTCAATGATTTTGCTATCAAAATCTGATGAACTGTCTCTGAAGGTAAAAATATTTCGCTCGCTGAATTGAGAGAGGGAGAGAAAGAGTTGACCTCGAGAAGCTTTCAAGTGATAAGAATGGAGGACAAAAATGGAGAATAAATGAAGAGAGAGAGAGAGGCAGAGAGAAGGTTTAAGTGGTTTATATAAGGAGGGGAAAGGAGCTTAAAAGAGGTAAAGGGGAAGCTCCCCGTGGCAAGACGGGGCACTGCGTGGTTCGCATGCGGAGGGGGGCCGTCTTATTCTGCCACAAAGCCTCGCGAAAGCATGAGAAGAGAGAGAGAGAATCTGCGTACAAGGTTTTATATAGGGAGAAGGGTATTTTGGGAAGAGACGCGCGGCGGAGAGAGAACTGAAGTGGGGAGGGCGATGGACTTACGTGGCATGCACTGAGACGGCGTTTTTGGTGCGCTGTCCTACGTGGCTGAACACGCCTGCGCCATTAGATATTAAAATTAATCTAGATATTTGGATTAAGTTTTTAATTGTTATTATCGTAAAGTTAAGGAAATTTGACTAATCCACCTTATGATACTATGTGGCAGAATATCCCTCCCCTTTTTTTTAAATGTCTCATAAATATTTTGGGAGGAAATTATCCCCAAAGATATTTGTTGCGGGCTAGAATATACGTGGTGATGGAGTTAGAATACCACGTCTTAGCGTTGTACGGATATCTAGCTCACATATAGATAACACAAGATTTTTACATGAAAGTCCTGGAAAAAGGGAAAAATCACGGGGCCTGGCCAAGTTGAACATAAGTCTACTAGAACTTGAGTTGGTTACAATAAGCTCACTCGCCTCCAAAGGCGATCAAATTACAAGTAACATCTGTATGACAGAAGTTCGGGTGTCAGGTGATGGTTCGGGAGAACTTCAAGCTTAAGGTGGTGGTCTGGCAGAACTCCAGGCCTTAGGTGGTGGTCCGGTGAAGACAAGGGCCTCAGGTGGTGGTCCAGCAAAAGCGAGGGCCTTAGGTGGTGGTCCGGCGAAGTTAATATAAACTCTGCTGAAAAGAGGGCTATACTCATAATGTTTCTTCTTGCTTAGCCCCATTATTCATTAAAATTGACTATAGAAATTAGAGTATTCATCTTGAAATATGATATTCGCAAAAATAAAATACTATTTATTGTGATATCTTCAAACAGGCCAGAAAGGCCTCAATGGGTTTTTTTTTTTCAATTTTTAAAATTATGTTTAGTTTGTGTTTTTACTTTAATTTCTTACATTTTAAAATAAATCAAATTACTTCTAAAACACAAAATATTTTATGTATTTTTGTTAATTTTATGTATCATATATATATATATATATGTGTTTTTACTTTAATTTCTTACATTTTAAAATAAATCAAATTACTTCTAAAACACAAAATATTTTATGTATTTTTGTTAATTTTATGTATCATATATATATATATATATATATAGATACGTCATCATAAAATTATTTTGATCGGGCACGAATCTTGAGGC